AATGGGACATCTGAACACGTTGAGGCTCCTGGCCTATTGCCACACAGGAAGAGACTAGAGGCTACCACTCCTCTGGGGCATCAGCTAAGTGCTGACACACAAGGATTCTCTACCAACACACTTGGCTTCTCTGTAATACTTTTCTGTTCACCATGTGCAGGCTTTTTAGAGGTAACAGTAACACTGCCTCCTGTTTGAAATTGGAAACTATTTTCAATAGTTCAGAAATTCTTTGACAAGACATCTTCATTACCTGTCAGAACAGCAGCACAGCCAGATGAGAGGTCTCTGGAGACCTAAATTTTAAAGTTCAGGGAGATCTTTCTCGGGTACAACTCTGAAAATCAATCTGTTTGCATTTCTGAATGCAGTGTACTTACTCTCTAGCTGTGTTGCACAAGCAGCTGCATTTGCACTCAAAGGATCAATTGGATCTGTGTTTGTTTCCATTTCCACAGGAGAATTACTTCTTACAGAATCTTTTGAGCTTCAAATATAAAGCAAAAAAGCTTTAGAAACATTTCTAAATAGCAGAATACTTCTATATCTGAGCTGTTTAATGCCCAGACAGAGACAGATGTATAAAAGGAGGAGTCTTCTGATTGGAGACAGAATCAGCTCTTGACTGATAGTATTTGGCAACTCTAAATTTACATCTACATAATTAGGTACTTACACAGAAGACGTCAGTTATTTTTTATGTAGAGTTCAAGCCAAGAAAGAAAAGTGTATCTCAGGTATTTTCAAAATAGTTCAGAACTGCCTAATCTAGATATCACAGCTGCGTAACCATGCAAGTTTTCAGAAAAACAAACCAACCCCTATTTGTTTTAAAACATCCATAAACCAGAATAATCATTGACATTTTACGTCCTTTACATTCAATAGTTCACATTCAACCCTTCAATCAGTTCAGTCTATGCTAAAAAAAAAAAACAAAAAAACCCTACAGCCTAAATTCTGGTCAGAGACCAAGATTAAAGGGCCCAAGTATTATTTAAAAACCCTCTAAAGCAATGACACTCAGATCACCATCCTACAAAACCCTGCTATGACGTAAATCATACCAAGACATACTGTTACAACACATGGGGCCCTTTGGATACTACAGCCCTTGTACTCCACCAGAACACTACCAACACAGGCTTTGGGTAGCGATGGACACCCCAAGGAAACCAAACAGCAGCTGTCATCACGTTTAGTAGTGAAGAACTTGCCCTGAATCACTAACATTCGTACCTCAAAGAGGATGTGAACTCTGAAAAGGAAGCCCAGCCAGTTTCTTTTGCTGGAATAGGTTCTTCTGTACTCCACACATCAGACTCAACAGAATCCAGATTGGCACCATGAGCAGTCTCCATGGGTACGTCAAAGTTAGCTGACCAGTTTGGTGCTGAAAAACACATCAACAAGTTCATTTGGAACAAATTTAAATAAATAACATGAGTGCACATACGCCTAACGCACTGCTTCTCTATATGTATATTCCAAACAGAGCAAGAAAATTAATAAGGAGTCTTTAAAGCACATGCAGAAGAATCCTCTACATACAGTTAAAAAAATGAATGCATTCCCTAAAAGGGAAATTCTGCTAGAAAAGCAGAATTTTATAAACAGTAAGTCAGAACATTCTGCTAAAAATTTATATACCTTATCTGAAGAACAACCAATAAACTATACTAGATCACAAGTACAATCTCACTTTATTCTTTAAACTAACATCAACATTTGCTATCATTTTTCAAAACTAATTTCTAGAATAAAAAAATTCTTAGGAGTTTTCATCCTTTCTTCAGTTTCCTATGCATATTTTCCTGAACATAGAAAATAAGCATGTCAACTTCAGTATGGGCAGTCTCTATGTAATTTCTCATGCACTAACACCACTGCTAAGTTTCAGAAAAGTTTAAGGCTTTTTACAACTTAGAATATTTATTGGAATTTTAGATTTTGGAACAACTGTGACTTAACAGCATCTAATTTAGGATAGGTAAATTCAAAATACTTCACCTACCCAAGGGAAACATGTTTTTCATTAACACTTACATACAAAAAAACAGGCTGAAAAGGAAGCTCTGACTAGCAATTAGAAATTCCAACCCAGGCAGATATGGGAGGAGACCCACATGGATCAATACTTGTTTGACACACAGATGCCAACGACACCAATCTGACAAAAGAAGAGAAAACCCTTAACTTTTCCTTCTATTTTAATTTAATTCCTTACAGTCTAAACAAACACAGGGCTTTTACCTACAGATATCACCAGTTTAAGTAAAGCCAGTTTAGTCTACCATGACTTGAACGTGAAAACTTTTAAACCAATCATATCAGTTAAGTTTCCACATAAGAGTCTACTGACGCACATCTTTCATTCACACATGAAACCAGACCAAAGCAAATTCACTTGGCTTCTGTAGGAAGTCTTCCAAAAGAGCATTGTTAGATGAAATGTTGGTCTGAAAGACTTCCAGTGAAAATAAGTTATTAATCTCCAAACCTAAAATATGGTTATTAGTTTTGGAGACATTCAAGATGTATAAATGGTTAAATTTCATCCTTTCCTTTCTGATTCCTCTTCCTTTTTTTCCTTTTGAAGAGTAGAAACATTAATTTTAGAGAGACTAAGTAACTTGACTCAAGACACGTGAGGAATTCAAACTTCCCAACATCTGCATGCTCTGTTGCAAGCAGTCTTTACAGTGGGGAAAAAATACTTCATTAACATAGCTGGAATAAAAATGGTAAACAAGGGAAGCTCCTACAAAATAAGACTGCTAGACCCAACACTTTCCCATAACTCCAAGCAGCTGTGAGAAAAGCTACATACGTTCACTTAAGTCTACTTCCATTTTGTCCTCTGTGTTGGTGTGCGATTCAAACAAGTCTTGTTTTGTTCCATCCTCTTCTTCAGAATCTGTACTTTCTTCACTGTCCGTACTGCCCGAACTTAAAATACAAAGAGACAGTTTACGTTCTGTGTTCATTATCAGACCCTAGGCACAAGGAAATACTGGAGAGTCTGAGGCTAAACAGAATTGCAACAGCTGTCATTTCTGATAGATTAACTGAGCTATAATTTGTTAGCTGTTAGTATTCTCCTCATTTCTCTCTCACAGAAACAACGTTTAAGATTTTTTGCTTGATCATTTAAAGAGACTATCTTTTTCCAAACTCATCTGCAAGTAAAAGACAAAGGGAACAGAAAAGGAAAGTAAGGAACCAGATCCATAGACAGCGATTGTTGGTCGATTTCGTCTCTTCAGACTAAATGGAAGCACTGAAATAGAAAACTCTTCAACACCAATCTAACAAGATATAACTTGATTTCTTTTAAAACCTAACAAGAAGTCTAACAAATTTATCTTATAATCTCCCCAACTGCATTCCAGTCCATCCTCTTTTACTACATATGTAATTTAAACCCTATGGGCATCTCTCCCTTCCTGGTGAGCCAAACTATCACAAAAGGCGAGGTAACATGAGAGGGTAAGGACCACCCTGAAACACACCACAGTAAGTAACCCCAACACCATCAGACAAAATAACCGATTTTGTACCGAAGGTATTAGCAACTTGCATTTTGAAGGTTGCAAAGGAAGAAGAGATTGGGTTTGTGACTCAAGCTACAAGAAGGTCAGAAAAGCCAACTCTACAATGGGACAAAATTGAGGAGATATCAAGGGAGGATGCACAGCCCTGAGAGTTTTGGGGACCAGGTGCTCTCTCCCCTCAGTGCAGCTTCCTATGCCGTTTTGTCCACAACCACACTGGTACTGTAGAGAGGACAGCAAGGTCTACAGAGGTGTGGAGCTGACTGCCTTGTCCAAGGCAAGAATGGCTGAGCAAGTTTAAAAACAGAGAAAGAATAAGCATCAGGAAAAAAAAACCAACCTACAAAAGGTGAAGTGCAGAAAGAGTTGAGTGGGCAGGGCAGCTGTTGCCATCTTCTGCAAATTATGGCTGAAAGACAGACACTAGAACCATCCCTCTACTCCTTTCTCCATAGAATGGAACTAGCTAGTTATGCTAGACAGGCTGTGCTAACAGCCTGAAACGAGAGACCTGCTCAGTACTGAGGGCTCACTATAATGTTATTTGTATGAAAAACACATTTCTTACCTGGAACGCCTCTGAGACTCTGGTGTAAATGCAATATGTTTTTCTTCCCAAATGTCTTCTTCATCAGAGCCACCATCATCAAATTGCTGTATCCGCTCCTTACAACATGCTTCAAACAAGGCTATATTGCCCTAAATACAGCAAAAGTATAAAATCTGTATTTATGATTAATAATTCTGCTTACATTATTAAACATTTTAGAAATATATGACTAGTTTGAAGAGAATCTTAAGCCAGTAGGGGAAAAAAAATACTTTTGTAAAAGCAGCAGAAAACTAGAATGTCCTAAAAAGCTAAAGCTTGTCAAGAAAATACTCAGAGGTGCTTGTTCTACTCAGCTACAAACAAGCTGAGTGGACCAAAGAACAGCTAGGAGTTTCTATCGTGTTTAAGAAAGGTATGCATGCATGACACCAAAGAGCTTTTCAAAGAACAAGACCACCAAGCACTCCAGCTTTACCTTCCATACTGGGATTCATTTCAGCTCAACTGACAAATAATACCTAGTGTTAAAGTCTCTGTCCTTACTTTCCCATCACCACAATCTCACTGGAAGACTGAGATAGCTTCTATCCATAAAACACAAGTGTGCAATATGCACAAATCAGATCCAAGCTTATTCTCGAACCCAGCCATACAAATCAGAAGCAATTTTGTTTAATACTGATCACAAAGAACAACAATAGTGTCTTCCAATTAGAAAAACTCGTGATACAGGAACAAGCTAGGGTAGTTATTTTCCAAAGATTACACATCAAAGGAGTAAATATAACAACCACTACCAAACATCTGAGGTCACACTGAAGTTTAAAAGCTTCTGAGAGTACAGGAACACATACTTACACTTTCATTCGTATTCAGGGTAAAGTTGATGTCTGAGACCCGATCAAAAGAAACACTACAAAAAAGCAGATGTATGCAATAAAACAGGACGCTGTATTATGACATGAAGACATTTAATTTCTCTTAGGTTTCTCATTTTCCAATCATCTAAAAATGTAAGATTAAAGACACAGTAGTTTCCAACACAGAACAGTCAAATTCCACACTGAGAAGGCCTGGCACTCACGTGATTTTTCTAACTGTGAAATATTCTAAACAAAAATACAAAACAATGTCATCTCTACCCTATAGCTAGCTGTGAAGATGAAACAAGCTTAAGCAAGCATAACTGAAATCTCAAATACTGTACTGTTATGCAGTGGAAAAAAAAAGTAGGTCTAAAGAATGGCTAATGTGACTATGGTCTACCATGATACAGCTCAAAATCCTGCAAAGATCTGCGTTAGCTATTCTTACACCTTCTAACTAATTTTGCCACTCCATAGAAGAACCTTCTCAACAGGAAGAGAGAAAGTGAAAAAAGCTGTATCAGCTTCTGCTTCCTAAAAAAAACACCCAACTCTTTTCTTTTTTTGAACTAATCACTGAAGTTTTTTTTTCCCAACTGAAGACTAAATATCAGGCTTTACCGATCTCCACATATTAAGCTATTGAGCAGTTTCACTAAAGTAATTACAAACATATCTTAGACTGAAAATTAGGCAAACTACATCTCTGGAGGAAAAGATGGGAAATATTACCAGACCTTCAGAAGAGTTAATATATTCTTTCTCTAGGCACATATAGCAGTGCATTCAGCAGGGCATATACTACTCTTCCTCTAACCCTCATTGCATTACAAAGTAGGGAACAAGGTAAGTGGTCTAAAGGAACACAAGTTTTAAGTGTGACTGAATTATTGTGCAAGTTCCCATCTGAGTTTCTGTACAACAGTAAGCAGGTATTTAAGCTGTAATTGATTTGTGCACAACAGGCATAACTTTGAAGTAACTTTACTTGCAGCTTAATTCAACTGATGAGCACATCATCAGTATAATCAATCACAAATCTCAAGAGATCTGCTGACACAAGTAGTCATTTTCTTTCCACCAAGACCATACACTACCAAAGGCATGATCTTAAAGGAATTCCAACTCCTATCCTTGCCGAAATCCACCTGCTTCTAACAAAGTTAGAGTATCCTGAGTTGCTTCCTCTCCCATCGTATCTTAAATCTATAATCTCAGCAGATTATGTGGCATAAAAAGGCAGCAATGCTTTTTAGATGGCATGTGCAAGCTTCAGTCAACCATCACTTACTAAACGTCTTACAAAAGACCACAGACATTTTACATACAGTAAATACCCTTCTAGACACCATCTTCAAATTATGCTTTTATTCTTTATCTGCATATTCTTGCATCCCAAGCCACGAATTCTTATAAAAATCAAGATCAGTTCTACTTTCAGCAAGAACCCCCATTCTTTCCCTTTCTCATTATGGCATCAGTTTATTTAGTTCTCATTTCCTCATCACTTACCCTATTTGTAGAACTGAGTCTTAACTGACTTGACCTTGAAAACAAAGGTAGATTTACAAAGTTCTTCCTTACTGTCCCCTACAGAAAAGTACACTCACGGGTGTGTTGTTCCTGTCATCTTTTCCAGGAAAGTTTAAAAATAGAGCTATTCATGTGGTCTGGTACACAGACTGAGCAAGGGGTGGGGGGGGGGAAGTACCATTTTGAGGTACAGAGAAAGTGAAAGTGCCCCTAACAATGCCTTGTCACTGGACAGACAGGGCTTCCAAAAGCAGCGTTATAATTTAGTTACGTATTCACAAGCACTGTGTTCTCACGTTGGCACAACTAGGACACTAAAAATGGAAGAGAAACTGTTCCTTTCCTCTGTGAGCTGTTCAGGGAGGCTTCTATCAATACACACAGATGGTACAAAAAGACAGGACTGATTGGCAACTGCCTCACATCAGGAAAGGCTCGTATTTATCATCAGCAAAAACACAGCCAAATACACAATAAGAAAGGAAACTTCTGAGACTATAGTCAAAGCCAGGATAACATTATACTCACTTGCCGATGTCATCTTGATCAGCAAACTTCTCATCGTTGAAGCCAAACTGGTCAATAAAATTGGACGTCATTTGTTGCATCTGATAATCAGAAAAGGCCTGGCAACCCCAGGACCAACGACAGTGATATACTGATTCTAATAATACTCTAAATCCTATTTGCCCATTTTGCTCCAAAGAAATAAAGTGTTTCTAATCTAACCATAAAGGAAAAAGATCTGTCTTAACCTTCACATTTTAAATGCTAACACTGACCACACATGCCTACTTACATTTAATGACATGAAAACCAGTCTAACAGTAGCTCTCAATAAGTTAAATCTCTAGCTTAACCATGTGTTAGCACCTTTCAAAATGCACCCCAAAGAAACAGTGAAACAGCACAGTATACCAGATAAAAGAATAAGCTTTGTTTAAAATAACAGTTACAAATACCAAGAACCATAAACAGTACATGATATACACATGCACAGTTACATATTTATCACGTAGTTATCACCAGAAATACCAGACTTGGGCACACACACCAGCAGTGTCTATTCAACATCTAGAAGAAGGAAACTAGTGAACTTTTTACATCTCAATGCAGTGTCACAGACTCAACTGGGCAAATGTATGTTTTTTTTAATAAAGATGCCAGTGTCAACTGCTAGCAGATGGATACCTGTACATTAGGGCACACACTGGCATTTTCTCCCATCCATAACAACAGGTTTTGTCTCTTATTTCCTAGGACTATAATTAAATTATCACACATTCTCTAGGGACTTCTAGTAGTGTTATTTCCATGTGTAAGTGAGCCAATACTAAGATATTCTAGGAAATACAGCTGTCACATCAACTCTCTTGCTTTCTTGCCCAGGTAGATCAAGGGACACAGTATACAGACAAAACCCTTGAAGGAGGTGGCAAAGCTTAAACAAAGTGAACATGGAAACAAAAGAAGAGAATGGTCAAAAAAAGCAGGTTTGGATTAAGGCAGTATGAAGACTGGTGGAAAAAGAAAGGAGATAGAGGAGGATGAGGTATACAGCAAGACTGGGAGTGGGTCTGAAAAACCCTCATGACTGCGCTAAGCCAGGCCAAAGCAAACACTTTTACATTTTGTTCCTAAATTTTAAAATCTGACAGTTCTGAAAAACTTTAGGATTTGATACTAACACAATTAGTATACCAACACTACACAGACAATCAATTACTGACTGTCCTCCTGACAAAATAACTACTCCGCTTTACACTGGTTACTGAGCTCTCCTTTCCTGTTCAGTATTTTCACTGTTATGGACATTAAAAAGCCCATATGACTGGAAGACCATAGTGAATTACCTCCACAGAAAGAAAAAACCCAAAGAAGTTAAACAGATGTGTTTTGTTTTACAAAAGGTGTAAAGATTAAGAACACCATTCACCAGAATAAACAGAAAATTACAACATGAGGTTTATGACATCAGCTAATTATGAAACTAGTGTGAAATCTTATCACTACATCAAAACTGTCTATTAAGTATATAAAATGCAGTTATAAACTGCTAACATGTCTCAGACCCTAGACCGTCCCGTCCTATCCCATTGTCTAACACATTTTCAGAATGTTTAAGAGACAAAAAGTGGTACTCAGCTGGTGGAGACTAGAACAACAATGCTTTCCTGGAGTAAAAGTTCCCATAGCCACAGCAAGACAGCACATTAAATACTGCTGGCACAAGAAACCTTACAACCCAGAACTAGGTGATGGAACACTTTTTCCAAAGATGTCAGTTTTGAAGTGTTATTCAGAAGCTTACATTTAAAGTGTTTCTGAGAAAAAGTGGGGAAAAAAGAAACCTTCCCTTCTGGAACAAAGGGTTTTCATTAGAAGAAAACAGTATCAAACTAGATTTGGATGCCAGAAGAAAGAAGTCGTAGCAAAATGTAATTCTGCACAGAAGTTAAATTTGACAAAAATAAAGCAAAGATTAACAGGGTCCCTTAGTATTTTCCTCCCTTATCCAATTCCTAATGGGTCCACTTGAATTTTGGAAATTTACCTCCTGTTTCCTCCTTTAACTATTGCTCTAGAACAGGGTGTTCTAGCTGAAGCCAGACACACCTTTATGAACAAATTTGTGCAGCTGGAGAATGCTTTAAGTAATTTGAATGCATCTTCCATCAGTGATTTATCTGGTTTTCATCACAAGAGCACTTTAGGAAGTGTATTTCACTAGCTTAGCTTAGAAAAAAAAATTAAGAAAATGGTGAGAAACTTGAAAGAAACAGCACTGAACCATCTGTATTCCTCCAGAGTAACCACCTGGGACTGCTAGGATTACCTAGGCACAGCAGGTCACTAAGGGAATTCAGGAAAAGCACAGAGATACCTGAAGATTTTCCTTTCTTACTAGGGCTGCTCCAGATAGCACCCAACTTAAGTTTGTAATAAGGTGCACCTTAATTGCACAGAATCAGATAAAAATGCATCAGATTCTTAAAACTTGAGCCACCGCCCACAATTCAAACTTAGATAAGTAATCACTTCTTACGAAAACTATAGAAGATGCATAAAGTAGAAAAGCCAGTCTTAGACTAGGTAGTTACTACATAGCTGTTAGTGGGAACTGAAACATTTTGGTTAATAAACCAGGTAGGTAACGTGTTCTGTGTAAGGCATCTTATCTGCAGTCTTGTGCTGCATGGCTCCTGCTCTTTTACCATGGGTGAAAGAACGGAAAGAGTTACATATTGCAGACAGGACAGTACTACTGCACAAATGCTGTCATTCTTCATAAAAATGGCACCAAAGTTCTCTGTAATTGCTCACTGCAAAACCACTCTAATCCCATAGCCATTTCAAACACTGTATCGTTATCATTAGTTAGCTATGAAAGCATTAAAGCTTCAAGGTGGACAGAGCTTTGACTTCACCTTTCAGTCTGGTTTATCTGAACATTCCCTAGGCTCTCTCTTTTTTTTTCATTAACCAAATTATAATTATCTTTGAAGCGCTCACAAATCATTATCAAAAGCATATACTGAGTTTAAAAATATGCGATCAAGTTAATTGGAAATTTAGTTCAGGAAGATTAGCTGTGTGCACTAGCCAGGTATCAGGGTCTATGAAGTTAAAAACATGAAAAATTCTAGACACAACCTGTCACAGGAGCATACTTAGATCATTTCTATTGTTGTGACAGCTGCAGAGTTTGACATCTGGCCAAAAACTAAAAGCATGTAACAACAAATAGCCAATCCTCCTTGTTTCCTCACCAAAATAAGAGTCAATGTTTAAAAACAAACAAAAATCTATTAGCAAAACCAAACAGAAACCCATATTTGCTTTCATAGCAGTTTACACTTGCCAGAAAACACACACAGTTAGAAGCCACCATTTCAAGCTCCTACATCTAGTAGTAACTAAAGTTAACAGGAAAACTGTGTTCAATTTAGCCAGACAGCTGGAATATAAAATTTGTTCTTCAGCACAACGAGTAGAGATCTGCATACACAGCACGATCAGAGACTGAAACTGGAATGCACACCGAGATACTGTGACTTGTGTTAAAAACCATACCTCTGGGTTTGATAAATCAGTTGTGCGCATGCACACAGGTCTAAGTTTTATTTTAAACCTACCAGATTTATATTTGCTTGTGATATAAATACAAGTTCCACTGCATTTTTTTAAAATTTCATTTTGATTTTCACAGAAAGAGCAACCTATGCCGTTAAAAGAGTTCAACTCACCTGCTGCAAAGAAGAATCCTGTGAGAAGCCAGTTTCTTTAAAGTCAATTTCATCATCACTGGAAGAATGAATGTGGCAGGTAGTAACCTATACAAAGGAATTTGGTAATTTGCAGAGTATATGACAGGCACTCCAGTATACTCACACTATCTGTCTGAATCTTCAGTTTCATATCAAAACAAGAAACAGAATTATTTTCTTTTCCCAACTGCTATACTACATAGAACAGTCCCTGAAATAGTTCAATAGCATTAACACATACATGAGTATTAGATACACCCAAAAAAGCAAAAGCTTTTGATTACTTCAGAATGATTCTTTAACATAAAAATAGCCAGCCCTAAAGCTGATGGTTACCTCAACAAAATGGTACAAAACTTGCATCTTGTCTTTGTACTGCACAAAATCCACTGAACAGCAAGTGAATTAGCAGTCACCAAAATACTAGATTATATACAGAGATCCTCCTCCTTTCCTATATATAAAATATGTAAGAATTAAAGGGAAACTAACTGCCTTAGGTATCTACATATTTACACAGGAATTAAGAAATATGTAACGAATGTGTACTTGCAGAAACAACCATGGAGTTGTCACAGCAACTGCTGTTTTAAACATTATCCTGGAAAGAAGATTTTTGGTTTTTTTGGATGACCTGACATAGGACTAGCGAGAATAATTTGTTCAGTGACACTGCTCTCTAAGCAACACGTTCTTGGAAGTACTCATCTTCAATCAGAACAGCTCTCCAAGAAGTGATTTTAGCTGGGGCAGAAATTAGCCAGAGGAACAGCTGCAACAGCTGACCCTTACAACACCCTCTAGGAAGGATCACTAATGTAAAGCAAACCTACAGATGACAAAACGCATACTGCATGATAATGTCTTGCATTATTCTACACGCCCCTAGAACTCCATGTCACAGATTCTCAAGTGATGTCAGGTGGTTAATGGATTTTTTTTACTTTTTGAAGAAAATACAAGTCTATACAAAAGGAGTACTGAAACCCATATGAGGGTTCACACAAGACAGACACCCTTCTATGCTCCCATTAATATCACACAACACCACTAGTCAGGACACGTGCAAGAGAGAAAGGAAGCTGTTACCTGAAGTATATTGTGCTATTTCCTCTATTAGCATAACACTTATTAAAAAAAATAAATTGGGAGTGCTTTATTCTTGCACATGAACCATTCAGCCCTGCACTGCAATTTGCACACTACAAGTGCCCTGACTTCAAGTTAATGGGGATTTCTGAAGGAAACTCGCCCTATCAACACTAAAACTGCCAATGAGCAGGAAGACGGTGTCTTCACCCAAACTCTCCTCTAAGGAACCAACAGGATATAAGGCCTAAGATACATGAGTCACATCTCTTGTTTTCTGGCAGCTGCTGTAGCTGAAGCATAAACTTGAAAGAAGAAACTAACATTACACCACCCTAAAAAATAAATGGCAGAATTATGCCAGCGAAGGGAGTGGGAATGACCACTGCAAATTCCAGAAATTAATTCTTTACTTCAAGTTCCTCACTGTTCATACTAGTTGCTTTCTAACACTAACACACAGCACACGTGTGGCATTTTTTGCCTGGTAATATTGAGGATCTTCCTGAAGAGAAAGGATCTAAATTGTGATTTTTAAGGCAACCATTGGACCTGTACACTGTTACTTTTAGGTTTAGGGGACGTATACTCTCCTCATCTAGTCTGTAAGGAGACCTCACGAACATTCAACATCACGACTAATATTGGAAGGATGCCATAAAGAGACTCACCTGAAGTTACACGAAGTCTCTCGTACAAACCTAGCATTAAAAACTGTATAGCATTCTTCCCTGTGCCAAGCATCATTAATGCACCTCGTCTAAAGAGAAAATGAACAATTGCTCCACATTTGTTTAAACTTCAGCTAGGGAACTCCAAGTAGGTAAGCTCAGTGAAGTATTGCCTAGCTTCTATCAGGACAATTAGCAGAGGAGAAACAAAAACTTTACTTTCTGTAAAGTCTGTGAAGTGTTTTGGGGAAACTCTGAGATAGAAGTGAGCATGCAGCAGAACTAACTCTGCAGCTATTCTGTTTAGAAAATGTAACAAGAACTTGTCTGAAAGACAGAAAAGCCTAAAGAAGAAGAAGGAGAATGAAAGGGATAGAGCATTTACAGATTTACCATCAACATCTCTGATGTAAAACAAGTGAAAAAGAACAGATTCATGGCTGCAGAAGCAGTTTATCATGTATGGGACCTTAGGACCACATACCTTGTTCCATTACAGTAAGAGAGCTCTCCTTGTGAGCACCGAATGACAGAAGCATTGGAAGTACTCAAAAGAGCAGTTACTTCCTTAGCCTTGACACAGCTAACTTATTTACATTTTTTTAAATTACCTTCGCATCATAGGAGTGTGCATACACAAAGATCAGATCACCTGAGCCTTGTAAATCCAGTAAATTGGCCAAAGATGATAAACAGTAAACCACAGTTCTGTCATTCAGGTCAGGAACTGTGTGCTGAAATATTCTATCACTCAGGACTAGATTCTGCTCAACAGCTTGCTTAGGACAGGAAAACCTTGAACCAAGAAAATAAGTCTAAGGCTAATCCACATTGGGGACACTGAAAATACGCACTTCAAATCAGGCATGTAATTTTCAGGTATAAACATGAGCTCTGATAAGCTGCTGTTTTAACCCAGAATGCTTTCCCCAATTTCCAAAAGAGCTCCAACACTCAGACATACCACACGGTCCAGGTTTACAGACAGGCCTATGGAGACCAAAGCACAAATCAAAAGCACGGACACCAGGTGACACTATGACTAGGAACAAATACCGTGGGGTTGTGCTTTCAGGATACACCCATACAATAACCACAGCTTAAACATAAGTCAGTAAAACAACAAGCTGAGTTCTCCAAGATCTGTCTTTTAATCTCTCCTACACCACATCGTACGGTCCATTACTGCTTAACTTTGAACTACATGCTAATCCAGGCTCATGAGAATTGATCACACAAGCAGAAACAAAGCCTAGAACTCTAGAAATTCAAAGGCACAGTATTTTCCAGATGGCATTTCAAATACAAGCATTTGCTTGAATGCTTTGTATTTCTATTCAAATGAGTACTGTTGAGTTTGAAGATGTTTTAAATGAGGTTTCACTGTTGTTACATCAAGTATGTTCAAGTAAATTATTACATATCTAAAGAGCTAATTACAATGTTATTAATTATCAGTCTGCTTAAAATTCTGCCTGTTTAGATGCCTCTTCTCTTGGCCTCGACCAAGTAGTTTCTAACAAGAGGAAAATATAATTATTCTACAAGCACTATGAACTTCTCTGCATTCAAAGCCTCATGGGAAAAAATACCATTTGCACATCATTTGGTCCTGCCCACAAGTTGCAGTTTCAGATGAACTTCCTATTCCTTCTATGGCCACATTATGTTAGCATTATGTTTGAGTTGCTGTATTACATTGAAATAGCAAATTTAACAGTCTATTAGTCTTGTAGCCCAATTAATACAGCACCATCACAAATCAATGAAGCCACATCCAAAGCACTGTATTCCTGGAGAAGTCAGGTATATTAAAATAATTTGCCTGCTGACACTGGAGAAAGCCTCTGCTTATTAAAGTCTGATTACTCTTAAACTGTATGTTTAACATGATTACATTAAACCTCTTCATACTTCTACCTAAGTTTAGCTTTTTTCTAAAAGTATAATCACTACTGCTGTGTGCAGAGGAAATATGACAGGTGCACAACAAAAGTATGCAAAGTTACTCGACTTAAGCAAGGTCAGTAACACACGCAGTGGGATGCAGGCAGCATTTTCCCATTGAACTTACATAGGTTCAATTACATACTGCAGATAAAGCAATTAACACCAGCTCCTGCAGTTTTAGTTTGTACTCTTCAAGCAGACAGGAGCTCTTAAGGGCATGAACTTGAAGTTGTAAAGAAATCTTCCTTCTTGGTGATTGTCTGGGATGAGCTATACAAACTCAGCTACTATAAGCATTCCCACACAAAACATTGATATGGCTTCAACTGAAAAGTAAACTAAGGAATTATCGATTCCTTAGCTCACCAATTAGATGCACTTGTTAACACAAGTACATGGTAGCTGGGAAGACTGCTTGTGTTCCTGACAAAAAGAAACCAGGGCCCAAGAAAACAGCAGCAATTTTGATACCTTGGCCATCACTACTTACCAGGTCCACTGTATTCCTCTTATTAGTTTCTCCTAAAGAGCTTGTGCAGAATGTCTCCCATCGCTCTCTGACCTCCTCTGGAAGCTCTAGTGCAGGAAACAGAAAAAGAAATCCCAAAGTGATACTACTGACAACGGAGCATCACTTAATTTTTAATTGCTCGCTTGTGCTCTACCAGAAACACTGCGCTGAACATACACATCTTCCTAATTCCATAAGGATTGCTTCGTCTAACAAACAAGTCAAAATCAAGCAGGTCACCATTTCTTCACATTTATTTCAGGAAGCTTTGATACTGCTTGAAGAAGAGACTTAAGCATATGTTTAAGGATGGTTGGTTTTAAATTGGATGCATCAGAAATCACAGAATCATTGAATCATTAAGGTTGGAAAAGACCTCAAGGATCATCAAGTCCAACCGTCAACCCAACCCCACCCAACCCACTAACCATGTCCCGAAGCACCACATCGACACGTTTCTTGAACCCCTCCAGGGATGGTGACTCCACCACTGCCCTGGGCAGCCTGTGCCAATGCCTCATCACTCTTGCAGTGAAGACATTTTTTCTCATATCCAGCCTAAACCTCCCCTGGCGCAACTTGACCTCCCCTGGTGCAACTTGAGGCCGTTTCCTCTTGTCCTGTCACTTGTCACTCTAGAGCAGAGCCCAGCACCCCCGTCACTGCACCCTCCTTTCAGGCAGCTGTAGAGAGTGATGAGGTCTCCTCTCAGCCTCCTCTTCTCCAGACTGAACCCCCCCAGCTCCCTCAGCCGCTCCTCGTCAGCCCTGTGCTCCAGACCCTTCCCCAGCTTGGCTGCCCTTCTCTGGACCTGCTCCAGCACCTCAGTAATCAGTATTTTCTTCTTTTATTCAACAGCTGCCTTTTAATTTAAGTTTGATTCGTTTCCTCAGATTTTTATAATGAAAGCCATGAAGACAAACTTCAGACCATTCATGTTACCTTTAATGAGCTGTTGGACTAGCGTACTGTTTGGCCCCTTATCCGTACTATGCACAATACAGTTTGCTATCCTTGTCAGATGACCCATATAGCCATGCCGTCTTCCTCCTTCAGCCCTGCAGGAGACAAAAGGAATTCAATTGCTCACACTGAGCAACTGCGCTATATTTGTTACGAAAAAAAAAAAGCCTACCAGAGACAAGAAGTTACACTAGACAAAATAGTGTAGGGGTTCTTAAGCAGAAGAGCTGCCTCCTAAACCCAAAGGTTCACAAGAAATACTCAAGAATTTAAGATACCAACTGGTTTGACTACACTGAGACAGTTTATAAGACTTAACAAGCACATAAGCTACCAAGAAGGATGCGCAGAGTATCTGAACAGATTATTTCCACTTTTATGTTTGTGTGTGATGAAGAAAAACGTACAGCATTATCAAGATAAAGAAAAAATTACCAACAGATCCACAGTTTTTAGGAAATTTGTGTTGTTCAGAGTATTTTTCAAAACCCCAATACACTAGATATTCTCTCCAAGCTTTGAGTCCATGGTCAAAAAATTCTTCAATCCTAAGTGCACTCCAGTATTGCAGAGTTTCTTAACATTACACTTAGCATACAGAGCTGGAAAGGTATGACCACCTGAAATTTAAGTTAGGATCAACGCTTTCCTGAAGTTCAGGAATAGCATTTCAGGGCATACCAAAGGTTCAATTACAAGATGGTTCAAATATTTTTAATGCGACAGAACTGCTTTGTATAAACAGGAATTACCAGTTTTTGGAGTAGCGCTTTGAGTCACTATGATCAGCTGGAACCATTCAACATCTGACCAAAGAGCTAAAGCGAGAGCTCCAACTTGGACTGAATTTCTAGCATTTAGCTTCAAGCTAACATGACATTTGCTGTGTCAGCTTCTTAAGGTTCTGGGCTTTTAAAATGAAAAATACAGAATTACTCACGCAATTGGCTAGTCAAACCTCCCATAAACTTGACTGAAGTCTTTTTAAAGTGACAGCAGTTGAGGAAGTAGCTTGTTTTGCAAATACAAATCACATTATTTTCCACCATCATCATCTAACACAAGGTAACTGAAATTATGTTATGCTAATGCAAGATGTCATGAATGAAACAGTATCACGTTGTTCACAGGAAAAACTCGGGAGAGAGAGAGATTCCTGTCTTATTTCCTCGACTGCTTAGGCAACAAGTACATTCAAAACAAGCAATAAGTGACAATGGCAAAGGTTATGATTTCTAATACAGGATATGCCATAAAGAGCACTTGTATTTGACAAAGTGGAATGACTTGTCATTGCCTAGCCAAAAAGACTAGAACATGATTTTATCTTCTGTTAGCAAATGTTTATTAATCCCAGTGAATCAAAGTTTTTCACTATGTCAGATGTCAGACTTTTACCAGCAGAAAGCAGTCATCCTCAATTCTAGACCTTCTTGAAATAACATTAAGTGACAGAATACAAAGACATTAAAAAAAACAATTTCCTAGAGCAGCTAAGCTAAAAATACCTTTAGATCTTTTATATTCAGAGTCATACCTGCACAAAATTGGATGGAGTGAATTACTTAAAACATTCTGCTCATTTCTTGCAAATAAAAATAAATTCTTTCCAGATAAAAGCACCATATAAGGTTTACAACAATTTTTTCCACATTAGTATTAGCAAACATATGGATTAGTTCATTAAGTATGTAGTTTGATGGAAAGCACTGGATCAAGAACTTTCTTACCCAACCAGAGAAAAGTTTTAGGTTCAAGCTACAGAAATAACTTTCCATACTTTTCTCCTGTGAGAGTCTAATTGCTGATAAAGTCAGCAGTTCACTATAACCTCAAGAGAATGCGATATAAGACATCTGAGAGTTAAATTATGTCGCATTCCCTTTCTTTGTACCACCCTCTTCATCTACTTCGCTATCCTTATTTTCAGGTCAGTTACATTAGCCAGATATTTACTATTTGATTCACATCAAATCGGAACAGGAATATTTGGGGGGAATGAAATTGTCTCAAACAACACACCAGAAAAGCAGCATCCAGTCAGCTACTTCAGTATTTTGACAAGTTAGGGTTCACATTTATTGTTCAATATCTCCTGAGACAAAGTATGAGCCCTCAGAGAGCTGTTTTACCAGCTCAGATGAAGACTGAGGATTATTTCTCCTTCTACAAACAGAGTTTCAGACAACATTAGCTACTTGAAACTGCTATCCTTTCACAAGCACACACTTTGGAAGGTATTCCATTGCTGAGGACTTGGCTTGTACTACTTAGGAGTCATCCGCTCCCCAATATGTAATACACTTTGATGTGTTTATAAATGATTTGAAATTGCTTACTGGAGAAAAGTATTTCCTGTCCTCTCAAAACTTATGGTATGTTTCTGTATTTGAAGATGGGTAGACTTTGAACATCATAGTAATACTTTATACATGGCAAGAATGACAAACAATTGTATTCTCAAATGGTCATGGGAAAAAGCATTAGAATGCTACTAAAAAGTTGTATGAGTGAAAGCTTTAATCCAAATATTAAGATAGTGTTTTTAGAACAGTCCAGATCAGTTATGAATTGGTCATACATTCATTTCACAATTCAAGTCTTATTTAGACAATTGCGGGGAATGGGAAAACTAGCTACTCACTGTTTCTTCTCGTTCATCTCCCATGCTTCAAGTATTCGTTCTATTAATTGGCACTTAAGGAAGAGCTATCAAAAAAGCAAAATATGCTTAGCAGCAGTAAAGTGGAACACCATTATGCATTTTATAATTGTTTTTAACAAATGCTAAGTCTTACAAGACAGCTAATTTTACGTTCAGGATAAATACTTTCACTAAAGGGTTTAAAGTTCAGAAGCAACAGTCAAATCCCAACTAGAAATCTAAAAGCCAACCTATATTAATTCTACTTCTCTTCATAGCTGCTGAGTTGTAGCAGCATAAAGCTATTGAAATAGCAATTTTAATTCTTAAAAATAAGAGGATCTTCTCACTAAAGGAAAATAAATACTTGCAGGCCTGCACACATGGTCACTTTGGGGCAGCAAAAATCTACTCTATGGCACTTTCAAGTTTTACACCCTGAACTCACATTTTAAGAAAAAAAGAAAAATATTCATGTTCGATGTATACATGAAGTAGAATTGGGGTATATTTTTTGTAAGAGTAACTGCTGCAATAGCCTGGAGACAAGAAAATTCAAGATTCCCCAAAAAATACAACTTACATGTTTCAATAAGAGATTGCCCCCAGTGGAATCCTGATCTGTAATTGTGCCATTTTCTGTGCTTTCAAGAGGACTTGCAAGAATCAATGCAATGCAGATTTCTACTTGAGTATGCAAAAAGTTATTCCATGTATACTTAAAGAACATATCCTGAAAAACAAATTCAACAAGGTTTACACAAACCAATGTCTTTTCATGAAACATAATCAGTCTTACCCCAGCAAGTTATCTGAATGACTACACCAGACCAAATTCTATTTTACAATAGGCATTATTGTGCAAGAGAAAATTTGTGACCTACAAAAAAATTAATTCTTGTGTTTGCTATTATCAGAACACAAGGACTATCATACAAGATCAGAACAAAAACTTAACTGTAACTGGATTTATCCTGAAGGTAACCAATAATGCACTTCCAGAGAACAAAGACAGGAAGGAATGACACTCCCCATTTACATTCTTACTGCTAGCTGCAGAGAGTCCCGGAGTCAGAAGCGTTATTTATAACCTTTGTCGCCCTTGACAGATCTCTTTTTTGAGTTCATTTAACCTTCTAGCACCTACAATACCGTCTACAATGTGATCCTCACTTCAGTAAGGTTCCTTACAAACTCACGTCTACCGGTTTTGAATCTGTCATCTACTAATTTTATTCTTCCATTACACAAAGCTACCTCAAAAATCTAGATGCAGTTTAACATTATCAAATGCCTTGCACAAGACAGATAAATACTGAGATTGAGATACAATAAACAGTTAATTTAGTCACATTCCTGGTTCTCCACATTTTTTGTCTTAAACACAGGAAAGATTTTTTTCAAGCTTTATGTTCAGTTATTTTACACTACTTCGTACTGCAAAACTCAAATGATTGCTGTCACTGGTAAAATGAAATCAGTGATGGAACTATGTGTAGTGATTGGAACAGCATGAAACAATCCAAGTTCCATTCAAAACACAGCTAAAGATCTCCCATTTTCCTTCAGTCCTCCTAAACTAACGACACTGTCCCATAAAGGAACTAGACAACTAGTTTTCCTAACAGTCAAGTCTGCATAGTAAAACATGTGGTGCTTCGTGCTGTTTACTGAAACAGCAACACGTTTATATGGCTACAATGACTCTTTTTTCCTTATGTTAAAACCCACAATAGAAAAACATGTTCAAGCCTCACTGAATTTAGTTTACACAATAATCTATTTATAAGAACACAAGTGTTCATAGCATGTACATTCCCTTAGACAATGTATCTGGAAAAAACTTCCATCAGGGTGAAGTTAGCTATTTGTATACAAGCTAGCACCTGTCTGCAAAACTAAGTTGTGCAGAGAAATTGAGATGAAGACATTACAACCAGAGCTGTATTAAGTAGTTGAAGGAAAAACGTACTTTAGTCTAAGACAACCTGGGGCACAGAAAACATTTACACTTTAAGTTTGCAACTGCCTGCTTAGAAGCAGAAGTGTACATACTGTATACAGAAACTGTAGCAGAAATACTAGCATGTTCTGCTAGTTACTTAACTGATACCAACATCTGAATTTCTTGGTCACCCTAAACACAAGGAATATGTCCTGCTATAGTATGAGGCAGGAAGTACTCAACGTGCACATGCTACATCAGCAAAAAGCAGCGAGTTAACTGACTGACAGTTTGTGGTGCAAAATCTTGCCTTCAGATGCTACTAAGAATAACTGTCCCTTTATAGGACAGTGCTGATACACTATTTGGTGTTCCATATATTATTAAGATAGGAAAAGGGGTTTTGAGGGAACAACTTAGGAAAAGAATGAAAACAGCAGGGAAACCTTGAACGTGGATGAAAACTCGAGAACATACAGACGAAAAAATATCCTTCTAAGAAACCCACTTCATGTATTTATGAAGGTGTAGAGAATAAGAACCACTTAAGGGATAAGAGGAAAATGCTGACTTCGGATAGATGATTTTAACAGTAAAATCCAATATTAGAAGTTCTTAAACGGTGCAATAGAAGCCACAACACAAACTGTCTGACAAATTAGGCTGGAAAATACACTACAAAATATCTGCAGTGACAGAAAACACAGACAAGATCTTAATAGCAACCCATAAAAATAAAGAAGGCAGCATGAAGTTCTTACCAGTATTACTCCTATGCTGTTAAGTTCTATAAGCTCCTGATTCACACTGCTTATATTTGTCTGTAAAAGGCTAGATATTAATCTGATCACATTTAAACGTGTGTTTCCCACAGGTGGATCCAATACACCCCAGGTTGTCTTCATGACACTTTTCTGACAACGAAAAAGGTACATACATAAACATAGCTTGAAAAAAACCAGCTCATCATGACTATGCACAGAGTAATCCTTAAAAATATATAAAATCGGTGCTTTAGCAACAGTCTTGCTTTCACCCTGCAAAAAAGCAATTTGTAGTTCTGAACTCTATAGCTTATTTTAACTTCATAGACAGGAAGCACTAAGAACAACCACATGAAACCAATGACGTTGTAAAAATTGTTAACTACAGAGAGGATCTCAAAGTAGATACATTCTACCCAACCTTGAAACAAATGAAGAGATACTTCCCAGGAAATGCTTCTTACTGGTTAATCCATGTAAAGACACTTTATTTATGTTTTATTACCTCTTCTGCATATGGAAATCTTAAGGTCTCAACTTCTCCAGGCTAAAATAAACTTAAACACTACTTTGACCCCCCCCAGTATTTTATACACTCTGGTCTTTTTCACTTCGGCCTACGGGTCCTTCTCTCTTACAGACTATGGCACCCAGTTCAGGGCACAGTGCTCCCACTGAAATGCTGCCAGGGAAAATCTGAGTGGAAAAATATAAATGGATCATAGGTAAACCCCCTACTTATACATCTTGTATTTATCTTTTGCAACGGCATGAGACAGATAAGTTACTTAAATCAATTAAAAAACCCAAAGCAAAGAACTGAACATGCCTAGAGTGCAAGGGTGCACGCTGTAGAACTGGTCTACTTGGGTCCCAGGCAAGTCTAGAGGAACTGTGCAGGCCTCGTGTGGGCCACGCCAAAGTTCCAAACAACTGCAATGTCTATACTCTGCCTTTCATATCCAGATAAGATTCTGAAGTAGAAAACAGGACCACCTTGAGAATATAGAGCAAATAAATGTCTCTTCATTGCTTTCAGGAAGTATTTGTTTCAAGGCTATTCTGCCAATTAAACACAGCTTAGGCTGGAAAAGCGTTTCAATTAGCACAACATATTGGCTCAAGGACAATAATGAACAGCAGAACTCACAACAGGCTGGGAAGTAGCCTGGGCACTTGCCCAAAAGTCAAACTGGGTTTCATTTGTTATTATAACCTGCCTAAAATACAGTCATACAGTAGCAATCTTGTTGCAGTTAACTTGGGAACACAAGGTTTCACTTACTTTTGGAGGCTCAAGGAGGAGTTCGTGGAAGGATGAAAGTCGTGCTTTTATGGCTTCTAAAACACTTTTGTTGACTGAATATGTTGAATTACTCATGCCTGGGGGACAGATCTCTATATGGCCTTCAAATCTAATGCACACAAGTAAAACCCAATAATTAATATCAAAACTAGTTGTAAAACATCTTGAAGGCATAGATTTTGAGAGTGTCACAATTCTGGTGGCATGTGAAAAGAATGAAGATGCAACTAAAAATATAAGGTTAAAATATAAATTAAGTGTGAAGTAAGGGTTGAATAAAATTTTACAAAACACTAGCCCGAGCATTTTTAGGTTTATTGTGCTTGAAATCTCCAATATGGTTTTGAGATGAAACATTACTGATGTTCTGTTTCCTCTTTTGAGGCAGAAAAAGACCTTAACTCATCTATCCTGAAGAACAAACAAGTTGAATGTACCACAGAGATCTGTTCAGTGGTTTCTCAAAGTAAAGTTACAATAAAATTCCAAACAACTTTTTAAAGAAGTCAATACCCACTCACCGCACTGGACATATTTACCTTATTCCTTGTATCCAGAAGCAAACTGATGGAATGTTAATTAGTTTGATCTGTCTACTGACATTTAAACTAGCTTCTAGAAAAAACTGCAGAATGACCAGTCACTTGGTGGAAGTGTAGTAATGCCAACCCCAATCACTTGGTTTGCTCTTTTACTTCTTCAGCTGCAACAGGGCACTAAAATGGCTCAGTCATAAGTACATGGAATACACTTGCTATTGCTGAACGCTATGCTGTGTACATCATTTAAATGAAATAAGACCACTTACGTCTGTCGTCTTGTCTCAAGTAAGGTCAACAGTATTTGGATTGCACTGACTATTGCAGATTCATTTTTTTCTTTATGAAAAATATTAGACAGCAGCTGCTCTATGATTTCTTGCCTGAAAAGAAAAGCATTGGCGTCAGATACAACACTACAGCCTACAGTTGTTAACAGAATTAGCTACCATTTGCCCATGTAAAATTAATGAAGGACTAATACAATGAAAACTAGTAGATATCTCAAGCTAGTAGGTACCACTAGGACAATCACTCCAATCCTCACTGCCCCAAACATATTTTCTAATTCCTTCCACTGATCTAGTGTTTCGATCTGACAACCAACACAACAAAAAGGGAGTTCTCAGATCAAAAACCTGATTCAGCTTATTGTAACAGCCACACAAACCTAAACCTATAACAGCAAAAGGAAGAAGGGAATACAGGAAAATCTTCTCTGGCAGAAATACACACTTAGATTAACTTCAAACAAATAACAGACGAAAGCCAAAGTCTCCCATGTGCACTCTGCACAGTATCATCAAGCTGACGTCCACATGTCTGATCCCAGTAACTCTGGCAGCACAGGAAATATTTTAATGAGACAACCTGCCTCCCAAGGAAGTCCTCCAGGTGAGCTCTGCTTACTTATTAAGTGACAGAGCCAGGGTAGCCAAGAGAGCTCATCTGAAAAGCAGAGCACAGCATTTCTAAAGGTTTTCAAGGTCAAAAGTTAAAAAATATTTTTTTGTGAACTGATGCCCTGGTTTCAGCTGGGCTAGAGTTAATTTTCTTCTTAACTAGAATAGCACTGTGCTTTTGATTTAGTATGGGATTTGGAATGAGAAGAATGTTGATAACATACTGATGGTTTTAGTTGTTGCTAAGACAATCAAGGACTTCAACTTCCCATGCTTTGCTAGTGTGCAGGTGCACAAGAAGCCAGGAGGGAGCACAGCTGGAGCAATGGGACCCACAATTACCAGTTTAGGATTTGAGCTCAGGTTTAGGACCGAGGCCAAAACTGGCCAATGGTCTATTCCATACCATGGAACGTGATGCTCAGTATATAGATGAGAGTTGGTGGGAATTCTCGCTCTCTTACCCTCTCTCTTTTCCAGGATTGTGGTTTCAGGACTTTCTCTGCTCTGGGATGATCAGCCAGGAACTGGCTGGGCCTTGGCCAGCAGGTGGTGAGCAGTTGCACCGTGTATCATCCATTTGTATGTTACTGTGGTTATCATTATCATCCTTATTACTTTCAATTTTATTGTATTTCCATTACTGAATTGTTCTTCTCTCAACCCATGAGTTTCCTTTCCCTTTATCCCTTCAATTCTCTTCCCCACCCTCCAGGGGCTGGGGAGGATGAGCGAGTGGCTGTATAGTGTTCATTGCTGGTGGGGTTAAACCATGACAGTCCTTTTTGGCACCCAACATGGGACTCAAATGGCTGAGATAACACTGGATTTAACCAGAGTGCATTAAAACAAACTTGCTCTAAGCATTTATGTTTCGTTGGATGTTGCTATGGAGAATACTGCTTTATTTGCATTCAGAGCTGTATTATCCAGCATCTTATTTGCCATATAGGCTATTTACCAGTTATAATCTCTAATGCTTGGATTAAGAACATCGTTTTGTTGATTAAAGGTACTGCGGTGTTGTATTGTGTATTGCTGATAAAATCACGGGTAGCAGGACTGATTTCCTACTGCTCTTTGTTGCTGGAAGAGGGAGGGGGTGGGGAGGAAAACAGAGCAGACCAGCAGTGTGGGCTTCATTTCTGGGCTTGGGGTGCCATCTGGTAGACACTGTGGCCAACTACACCAGTTGCATTTTCTCTGTGAAGAGACAATGCATGAGGGGGTGGGGAGGCAGGGAGGTCTCCTTTCACTCCCCCCTTCTCCTCCAGACCATTTATAAAAGCTTTTGAGGATTCTGAGTATCTTTGAGATTGATCCTGTTACTAGGCCTCCTGAATGCATGTCTCATTATATATATTAGTAGCGTTAATTGCTTATTTGGCTATATCATTCAATTCGCTACCAGTGTCACCCCAGCTGCAACCTCAGCCCCCACAACAGAAAACTGCTCCTATACCAACCCCTGCAACAGATACGATGGCGACTCCAACCCTGGTGCCTCCTATGCCTACTCAGACCTTAACTCCTGCTGCAGTTGTTCCACCCCCATCTGCTACTGCTGCTCAGTAGAAATGCAGGCACTCACTGTGCTCAAACCCCAGCAACAGGCACAGTCCCAGGGCCTACACAAGCCCCAGCAACAGGCACTGCAGCTACTCAGACCCCCATGAGAAGCACCACATGGTTCGTGCCACTGTCAGTTGCCCCCATACAGAAGAGGAAGCACAAAAGTCAACACATTTAGAAAAGGATGAAGAAGCTTCTCCTAAGAGGGAACAGGAGGAAGAAACTTATGGCCCTGATGGTGAGGAGGCAGGCTACTCCAAAGCAGGGCCATCGTAAGAACAAGAGGAAGATGACTTCCCCACTTCCCCCCCTTCCTGAGGAAGAACCCAGCAGGAGGGAGTGTCTCCTCCCTTTTGGAGGAAGAGGAGGATGAGACGGTAACCACCCAATCTCTATCCCCAAGTGAGCTGCAAAGAAAAGATTACTGCCATCATCAAGGTGAGCACATTGTCACCTGGCTGCTCAGATGCTGGGATAACAGGGCCAGTAGCCTGGATTTCGAAGGTAAAACAGCCAGACAGCTGCAATCCCTTGCTAAAGAAAGAGGTACTGATAAAGCAATTCAAAAGGGGCACTGGAGGTGGCTCCTGGCAGATGTAAGGAGATGTATCCCTTCAAGGAAGAGGTCGTATGTAATCCAGCAAGTGCAACAACATAGAGAAAGGTATCCAGTACCTGAGGGAACTAGCTGTGCAGGAGGTGGCCTATTATTACCTGAAAAATGCATGGTTACCCAAAGATCCAGACAAAGTCCAGTGCACATGGCCCATGCGGCAGAAGGTTCTATGGAGCACACCACCATCATATTCTACCTCACAAGCAGTAATAGATTTCAGAGAAGACGCACCACCCATGGGTGACATGGTTACCCAGCTCTAGCAATATGAAGAGAGTACCTCCCTACAGGCCTGCATCTCAGCTGTGGACAAACTGTCCAAGAAACTGTCCTGAAAGTTTCAGCAACTTAGAGAAGATACGGCCTACTCCCCACAGGTATGGACCAGCATCTCAGCAATTAGGAGCAAGCATTCCCCTGTTCAAGAGAGACAGTATACACTGGGGGCAGGCCATGGTTCTACCTGTGTGATCATGAAGACGCAAAAAAAGTGAGACAGAAAACCTACCTTAGTCCTAGTCACACCGCCACCGAGTGCTGCCATGCCAGACATGTTAGAACTCCAGTACAAACAGGAGTCAAAGGCAGCCAAGTGGTGTGCCATGACTGATATCACTAATGCATTCTTCTCCATTCCTCTGGCAGCAAAGTAGAGGCCTCAGTTTGCTTTCACCTGGAGAGGCATCCAGTACACCTGGAACCGACTGCCCCAGGGTGGAAACACAGCCCCACCATTTGTCATGGACTGATCCAGAATGCACTGGAGTAAGGTGGAGCTTCAGAACACCTACAAAACACTGATGGCACCATTGTGTGGGGCAACACAGCAGAAGAAGTTTGAGAGAGAAAATAATCAAGTCTTTTTGACAGCCAGTTTTGACATAAAATGAAGTAAGGTTAAGGGCCTCGCACAAGAGATTCAGTTTTTAGGAATAAAATGGAAAGATGGATGTCGTCAGATCCCTACGGACATGGTCAACAACAAAATAACAGCTATGTTGCCACCAACTATCAAAAAGGAAGTAAGCCTTCTTAGTGGCTGTGGGTTTCTGGAGAATGCAAGTTCCAGATTACAATCAGACTGTAAGCCCTCTCTATCAAGCGACCAAAATGAGTTGGTATGGGGACCTGAGCAATGATAAGCCTTTGAACAAATTAAATGGGAGACAGTTCATGCAGCAGCCCTTGGACAAGTCTGGACAGGACCAGATGTTAAAAGTGTGCTCTACAACCCAGCCAGGGAGAATGGTCTTATGTGGAGCCTCCAGCAAAAAGCACCAGGGGAGACTTGAAATCAACCAATAGGGTTTTAGACTTGGGGATACAGAGGATCCGAAGCTTACTATATTCCAACTGAAAAAGAGAGACTAGCAGCACATAAGGAGTTCAAGCTGCTTCAGAAGTGATCAGCACTGAATCACAGCTCCTCCTGGCATCCCGACTGCCGGTGCCAACCTGGATGTTCAAAGGGAAGGTCCCCTCTACACATTATGCAGCTGATGCCACGTGGACTAAGTCGGTCACACTGACCACACAATGAGTTCAGATAGGAAGCCCCAGTTGCCCAGGAATTTTGGAATTTATTACAAACCAGCCTAAAGGTAAAGATTTCAGAAAGTCACCAGAGAAGGGGATGTGTGCTGAAGAGCCCCTACCATATACTGAACTGCCAGCTAACGAGATGCAATATGCCCTGATGAGTCCTGCTGCCTTCTAGGAAAGCCTCAAAGGTGGAAAGCTGCCATGTGGAGTCCCACACGACAAGTTGCAAAAGCTGCTGAAAGGGAAGGTGAATCAAGTCAGTTTGCAGAGGGTTAAAGCCACCCAGCTGGCTTTAGATATTGCTGAACAAGAAAAGTTGCCCCATTGTGGCAAGATAGTCCTGCCCAGGTAGAAAAGCTGGTTGTAAAGGTACATCACACAGATGCTCATATGCCCAGGACTCGGGACACTGAAGAACAACAAAACAACCAGCAGGTGCATTGGGCTGCTGACATGAAAGGTGTATCTAGACCAGCAACATAAGAGAAATTTTTAGCTCACTGGGCCCTTGACACCTCAGGCCAGCAAGGAAGAGATGCAACACACAGATGGGCTTGTGACTGAGGGGTGGACTTAACCATGGACACTATTGCACAGGTTACCCTGTGGGTTAAACCACAACAACAGCAAATAAAATCAGAAATTCAGTAAATCAACTTACTTCTCTAGACTGGCAAGCAGTGGATCTGGTTCTGAACTGTTCTGTACTTGTAACATCTGGTCTCTGCTTAGACGAATAATTTCACAAAGTGACTGTGATGCATTTGAATGCCTCTGGAACAGAAAAACATAGCTTTTCACTGTAAGAGTAATAACCTGCTGGAGTGTTCTAACACTATGTTGTACAGCAACTTGCTGAACAGATAGACCCAGAAGAGTGTCAGACCAATACTTACATCTTCATCTTGAGATGGATGTACAATTTCCACAAGCCGCTGGATAATTCTCTCCTCATTTAGCCACTGTAAAAGTGTTTGTGGCTGTTAGTAAGAATGTTATCCAAGTGAATGAATTAAATTAAAATTAAAGTTGTTTGAAAATTGCCATGAGTCATAACATCAGTATTTCTAAACAAGGACTAACAATACTTCAGAAAAAAGGGAAAAAGTAAAATTAGTGTTTCTGAGCAACTGTGAAAAAGAATACCTCAAGTATAATTTTAAAATAAACTTTATGATGCCAAAAACATGTTCAGTAAGTCCCAAAACATTTTTAAAATTGCATCTAGCAGTTATAAGTTAGATATTAAAGAGCAGGGGAAGAGACCGTCCACTCGGTCTTAAGTTGTCCCCACCAGTTCTGTGGCTCCACTGGAAAAGTACTGGCAGCTCCAAACAAAAAATCCTATACATGTAATTTCAGCATATTAAGAAATAAATTTAGTAAAACCACCAGAAGAAAAGCCATTCTACAGTTCACACATATCAGATAAAAATCCTTGTAGACATTTTACTTACATTTAACACTTCTTGCCGGGGCTGTGGAGGTTCTATGCAAGTCAATAGCCTGAGCAACAAGTCCATGATAGCAGAGGTCCCTATGTGCTTAATAATGAGGTCTACAAAATCATGTTTCCTCTTTAAAAAATCCACAATCTAGAAATGAAAAAGAAGTTTACATTTGCTTATCTGTATTTTACATGGTAAATTACACCAACCAGTTTTAGTTTCTCTCCCCTACCAAATGGGGAAAATAAACAAGAACTTCTTAAACACTTTCGACACTTAAAGCTTGCAGTACAGGGCAAGATAAAATAATACACACATATAGAGTAGCAAAAATGGCACAGGGCAGATCCACACTATGTGCAGTGTGTCTTGGGTGTCTTCTCAAGTGCAACTTGCTGACCATAAACTACTTATAATCCAATGCACAGTCAGTTTTCCTTTTTGGTATTAATTACTCTCATCCCTACTTAGTGAGAAAAACTCAACACAGCAAAACTTTAACATAATACAAACAAATACAGAGCTTGCTAAATTAAAGATACAGAACAGAGTCACAAACTTAATTCGCTCAGGTACAAGAGCCAGTCATTGCAGCTGTTTGTAGTATTGGGCCACACAAACACAGAGTAAAACACCATTTCTGAACAGGGACTCCAAATGTCTCTCACCTTGTTCCGTAACAATTCTTCACACTGAATCGGACCTGCTCCCATCGATTCAATTCACTCACCTTCACCTCCCACAGGCGTTAATGCAAATATCACCATATAGAACACTCAACTAAGCTAAGGCAAAATGTAAGCACTCGCACACTGATTGCACAAATAGCTCAGGCAAATACAAGTCAAATACATCTTACTCATTCCGATATATTTTTTAATCCTGTGCATCCCATAAAAAAGTTGGTGGTGTCTTCAGCTAGTATAAAGGTTGAATGCTCTTTTTTGATACTGCTATCCCTCAAATCTGTAGTCTCAAGGCAGCATTGCTGAGTACTACAACTTCATTAGAGTACTTGTTAAATTGGAAAGCTTGTAAATATTTACCTGTTCTGGTTTTCTGCTTATTAGAATACTTAGCACCTTGCTGAAGAAACTGGCCAGTAAAGGGTTTAGAGGAGATTCATTTAAGAGGAAGCTGTACAGTTTCATGAGTAAGGATTCTTCTTCTCCCAGCCTATCATTGATCTGTGAGACATCTGATGTAAGCAGCTCACACGATATGTTTGGATATCTGGGGGAAAAAAAAAATAAAAATCCATCACTCATACTTCAAAGTTGTCATACTTTCAGCTCTGAATTCAGAACCCTGGTAAGGCTGCTGACCAAGTTTCCAGGCAGGGCTGGTCTGCACTAATTAAAGCAAACTACTGCCAGGTAATGTAACTGTACATTCAGCCCACAAGTTCTGTTCTTTCATTTAAGAAATGGACTAGTCTGCTCTTCAGGGGAAGAGAACAAAGAAAATAAATGGAGAAAATAAATGAGAACTACTTAAATGCTTGCAGTACAAGGGAAGGTAAAATAATATACATGTATAGAGTGGCAAAAGTGGCACAGGACAGAGCCACACTACTTGCAGTGTGTCTTTGGTTTCCTCTCAAGTGCAACTTGCTGACCACAAATTTATAATCCAGAACACAGCAGACTTGCTGGGGGTGCACTCAATCCCACTGTCTATGTTTCCCACAAAGATGTTAAACAACACTTGTCCCAACACAGACCCCTGTGGAACACCACTCGGATCTCCACTTGGACATTGAGCCGTTGACCACAACTCTGAGTGCGACCATCCAGACAATTCCTTGTCCACCAAGTGGTCCATCTGTCAAATCCACGTCTCTCCAATCTAGAGACAGGGAGGTTGTGTGGGACAGTGCTGAAAGCTCTGCACAAGCCCAGGCAGATGACATCAGTTGTGTATATATATTGCAATTACGTGGAAACACAGTAAACTACGAGTCAAAGTCTGACAAAACCTGCAAAACTAGCTAGTACTGCTTCATGACAGAGTCAGAAGTACAGTTCAGGACATTGAGTAATTAAACTAAGAGGATATCAAGAGCAGTAACCTCCTGCATTTGACAGTACTATCACCCACTCCCACTAAAGGTAATTTTGGCAGCAGCAGCTTAAAGCTTCTAAGTGAAAGATGCTCCAATTTCAAACTCTCCTACAAACACTTACAGAAGGCTCGGTTTACCAGAAATGGTGAAGTGCTGTAACCAAGAGTGTAGCTTATTTCACTTTTTTCCCCCAATACTGTTTTAAGGAAAAAAGCAGCCTTCAGCATAGAGAACTCTAAAATAGGCCAAAAAAGGTAGAAATGCTTTTATACAAATTTCTAAGTTGACTTTCAAGTTTGAACCTTCTCAGCAAAATAAGAATTGGGTATGGCCATGACTGCAGCTACAGTTCTAGCTCTGCAAAGGAAAACAGCAGCAATTAGACATTAAATACGTTCTTCCAAGGAGTGCTACAGACTTTCTAATAAGCATCTTCAAAACATGTTACCAGCCACCGATAAAACAAAGATAAGCACTTTGCTACCCATACAGAGTTTTTCATTCAACTACATTCTTAATAACCACAACTGCAACTGCAAATCCTGATTTTTTCTGTAAGCCTCCTTTGGACAGCAATTTGTGGGTAAGAGACTTCCATTTCAAAAGCATGCAAATATTAGAAGGATCTATTTAAAAGTTCTACAAAGCCCCTTGAAAACAAACTTACTCTAAAGATACCAGTATTGTACTACACATCAGCACACAGGGATTCCAAACACACTATCACAGTAACTGGAGTAAGTTGCCCCCTCTTTGCACCTTCCCAAGTCTCCCCCATCCCCAACAGTTTTCCTACTTATATCGAATCTTTTCATCCATGTCTTGAGGTGGCTCTTCGATAATAAATGAAACTAAGTCCTCCAAACATTCTGACTTCAGCAGAAACTCTATAAGTTTGCGATTCTGAGCCTTGCACTCTTGTAGAACGTCCTCTTCATCCATCAACTCCTTCAGTGTTACATCTTCTCTCTCTAGAAGTGTATCTATGTGGGATGACGAATGGAGATCAAATTTCCAAAACATGCTGGTCTAAATAAGAAGAACATACACAAAGCATTAAGTTTCCAAATATGTTTAAGCAGTATTTGTAGTAACACTTCATGGTAGTATTCCATAGCTTCTAACCCCAAAGTTACCCGTATACATCGAAACTTGCTACAACTCATATGAGACACAACAGTAGATGCTGACAATCAACAGCTACAAAATCAAGCTTGATTAAAGATGACCGAATACGCCGTAATAGTTTTTGTACCTTTAGCAATAGCCAATATTCTAACATCCAAAGATAAAGTTAGGTAGCTCCAATGTTTTACTTACATGAAAGGAACACACTAATCTGCATTAAAGAAAAAAAAGGTAACTTTAGTTTTCAATTTATCGAATTTGCTCTTCCCAACCTTTATTTATAATCTATCAAGTCTCAACTTCAGAACAACTTGCTCAGCAATTAACAGACCTGGGAGAAGATAAAATGGGCACTGCATAAATGCACTAGAGTGCCACCCTGCCATTGAAGAAAACACCTATAAAGGTAGAGGAATTACAATAATTTTAACTTGCAGGCAGCACACATCAAAGCGCCCAGGCTAATTTAAACACAGGACCTACTCTCTCACTATACCTCCCTGCACAAACTTGACACAAGAGGAAGAACAAGGACAATAAAATACCGTATGCAAACACAGGAGAGGGCAGTGGCCCCAACCACTGAAACACTGTAAGAGGCCGTAACAGAAATGTGTAAGGATGAGCAACTTCACCTCTCCTTATAAAATGCTCCTGTTGCTCTGAGACACCTTACAAGCAGTTGCTACTGAGTCAACTGTGCTATCAGAAAATATTTGTCTATGATAGATCAAACAAAGTCCTGCTTTCACCTTTCATTTAGGTCAATACAAGCATTCGCTCCTTTCCTCCCTCTCCAAAACAGGGCTTTTACATGACATTTAACCTCTGACAGTATCAGCTGGTCTTACATGGATGCAGAATTTAAATGGCTTGAAAGAGATACTACAGATAAGAACAGTAAGAGAAACTATTCTTTCCTTACAGTTGGAAGCAGCATGGTTTTGAGCATTACTAATTAGAATATGGAAAGAAACACTCCTTTTGCTCCATTAGTACCTGCCTTCCAAGTGTGAAGGATTAATTAATTACTGTTGTGCATTAGCAGCTGCAAGGACGTAGTTACTGCAGAGAATGTAGGTGAAGAGCACTATTTTAGCAAGAATGCTTCTGTAAGACGTAGGTTGTATGCAGGAGCAAGCTTAAAGACAATAATCTAACTATGCTTTTGTCATATAAAAATCTACAAAAACTAAAACAGAAACATCTAATTCTTAAGCAAACTAAGAGGTGGACAGACTTAAGCATTTACTTCCAAGTTAAAATGGATGCAGTATGCATACTACAGCTACTTAGAATACTCAAGTGTTGAATTTAGTACTTGAGCAGTTTAGAAAACAGATACAATTCCAAGGATCCAGCAAAACCCTTGTAACTCTCTTAACATTAGCAAGCCTTAAAGTATTTGTTCTAAATATTGAAAAATCTAGTATGCTCACTATGGAGAAGTTTTAAAGTGCTTTTAGGGTTTTCATTGTTGCTTTCACCATTATACGCTGACCGCTTCACACCACCTTACTTTGGTCAGCCTTCTGTCACAAGGTGGAAGCGTACATAACTGCCCCTAGATGACAGCTTTCTGTTTAAATATGAGAGCCAAACAAAATCAAATCAATCAATCAGGAGAAGGTACAGATAATTTCAACTGCAGTATCAGTACTTAGAGAATCATAGAATGGTTAGGACTGGAAGGGTCATCAAGGTTAAAGGGTTAGGGTTAAAGCCCATCCAGTGCCACCCCCTGCCATGGGCAGGGACACCTCCCACTAGCCCAGGTTGCCCAAAGCCTCATCCAGCCTGGCCTTGAACCCCTCCAGGGATGGGGCATCCACAGCTTCTCTGGGCACCCTGGGCCACTGCCTCACCACCCGCACAGGAAAACATTTCTTCCTCAGATCTCACCTCAATCTCCCCTCTTTCAGCTTCAAAGCGTTCCCCCTTGTCCTGTCCCTCCATCCCCTGCTAAAGGGTCCGTCCCCATCTCTCCTGTAGCCCCCTTTCAGCACTGGAAGCTGCTCTAAGGTCTCTCTGGAACCCTCTCTTCTCTATGTTGAACACCCACAACTCTCTCAGCCTGTCCTTGTACAGGAGGAGCTCCAGCCTCAGATCATCTTAATGGCCCTCCACTGGACTCGCTCCAGCAGCTCCATGTCCTTCCTGTGCTGAGGACCCCAGAGCT